ATGATTTCTACATCGTCAGTCATTTTTTTCTGCTCTGTTGTCAACATGTACAGTAATGGGAAATCCTGACACTTGACCGTTTTGCGTTAGCCGTTAGCTTCACCAGCCGATCACACGGTCACCTGGTTTCTGAGCCCTCCAGCTGTTCTATAGAACCTCCTTGTTCACCCCTCATTATGATCAGTGTGTTTTTTTAAGTCATATTAAAATTTGAATGGATGTTCGATCATCTTGGGCAGATTTTGGAGAACAAGTGGACCAGTGAGCTGAAGCAGGTGACAGAAATTCAAAAACAAGAATATCAAGAGTGGGTCATCAAACTGCACCAGGATCTGCAGAAATCCAACAACAGCAGTCAGATTAAGTGAGTTCATCTATTTGTGTATGTGTGTGTTGTGTGCAATGCAAAAGTGTCACTGTGTTGGTAATTATTTTAACAAATTCTGAGATTATGGTGAATTTTTAACATTTGTATAATACAGAGTCATTACTTTAACAGTTTTATTATTGTTTCGTTGAATAACGGGGTCAAGAAAAGGGGGTTGAATAGATCAGATTTTTGAGAATTAAATGAAACAATCACCTCACACAAGGTGGCGCTCTTGTCCCAACATGAAACAATGTGAAGCACTTTCACAGTTTTTACACTGATCATCATATAGTGTGGACTGGACCAGCTTTAACTTTATGTCTGATCAGGGCTTTTTTGTTCACAAACTATTGCAAAAATTAAAATCAGATGAATTAAAATCATTAAAAACCAGAGTTTACTTTTATCTTAAAGGATATAAAAACACAAGTTTGTAACACAAACATTAGATTCTGCATCTTAGAAGAATAATCTTGACTCAGTTCTAGGACTTTTTTATTATTCTAAATAAACTCAACTGAATAATATTTTAAAATAAATACATCTAGAAAGGAAATTGTTTTCTATCTTGTTGGGTTCTTGGAACATTTCCCACGTGGACCAAAAAAACAAGCTTCTGATTTGTTATTTGATGAATAATGACAGATATTTGAGTCAAGAAGTTAAAAAGTATTAATGGTGAGCAGTAATGAAGCTCTGAAGTGGTGATTTAAGTCATGTTAATGGTGTCACTCCACTTAGGTTGGATATTTGGTAAACCAGCAGGATCTGTTTGCTAAGAGTTCACCATCAATCTGCTGACTGTGCATTACATAATAAAATCATCTTGTTGGCCGTGTGGATGGAATTTAAAACACCTACATCAGCACTCTGAACGCTTTAGAGATTTACATTTATGATTAAAGCATTAAAATTAGTGAAAGGAAGCTGCAAAACATTTCAAGTTGACGGTTTTGTTCAAACTGTGTCTTGCTTTAAAATCAAATCCAGGCGTTTGGTTAATTATTGCTCTTTCTTGTATTATAATATTATATGATGTTAAAATGAAACCTCTGTGTTTTCCTTTTGCCTCGGGGTTTAGGTCATAGCTTTCCTTATATTAACATGCTGTACAGTACATCAACTGTGACATTAATTAATGTACGTCACCTTTTTTTCCCAGCACTATATCTCTTTTCTTATTTATAGGTGGCCATATAACATTATGAATGGATTTCTGTGGTGTATTTAATAGCTGTTCAGTGGATTGATTTCGTTGCATGATTGATTCCCACCCAGTGAGGAGATTAAGGTGCAGCCCAGCCAGCTGTCAGAGGCAGCAGACTCTGGGACCAGGATGTTTGAGGAGCAGTCTCTGCTGGAGGAGAGCTTCACCATTCACCTGGGTAAGGTGCTCCACATTATTCATACAATTTAAATCAGCTGTTGTATTATCTTCCTAAAAGGATGCTTTTTTGTACGTTTGTTTTTCGTTCAAGCAGGAGCGCAGCTGAAGACGATGCACAACCTGCGCTTGGTTCGAGCCGACGTCCTGGACTTCTGTAAACACAGACAACACGGCAGCAGCGGAGCCAAGCTGAGGCGGCTGCAGACGGCTCTTTCTCTGTACTCCTCCTCGCTCTGTGGACTGGTGCTGCTGGTCGATAACAGGGTCAACTCCTACAGCGGCATCAAGAGAGGTCAGCAGGCATGGCTACTGTAATGTAACACGAAAGCAATGCAGGGGTCAGCCTTTGATTGGCTGTGTTTCTAGTATTTATGACTCATTTCATTGTGCAGTCATTTGGCATTCTTCTATCGTTTTGAAAGCTGGTAAAAAAAATCCACTTTCTTTTTTTAAATGAGAACTGTTTTTGTTGTGATTTTACATAGAAATAAATAAAAAAATGTTAAATGTGAAAAAAAGTTCAAAAACCAAATGTGTTAAGAGCTAAATAAATAAAAAAAATTGCCGTGAACCTTTAGTTAGACAAAGCTAGTGAGCATTTTTGGGTTCAAACGGTGGAACTATGAAACCTCTTAATAGTAAAATCTAAAACTAGGATGAATCTAGTTTAGTTAGAGACACGGAACAAACTTCTACAATTAGCCAAAAGTGGTAAGAAGAAGATATGACCTGTGTAGGAGTGAAACTCAGGATCTTGCTCTGATTGGCCAGTGCAAAACCGTCAGAAGTGCGTGTAAATTCCTAATAATTTCATATTTTGCGTTGAAAATCACTGTTTTGCTTTCTTCTCAGTTCAGAAACATGAAGTTATTTTGGGGAATTTTTAGTTTATTTTAGCAGTTCTACACGGATGAATAAAACAGGAACATTGTTTAATCTCTGCACAGGAAGCTCAAACCTTTCAGATTAAAAGCATTTTGCTTATGTTGGAAATTTAAACCTCTTGCTGAGGTGTTGCTTAAGTCCTTTAAGTTTATTTTCCTGAATCATTTCATCCCTGGCCTGTCCCGTGTTGACCCCACAGACTTTTCAACCGTGGCGAAGGAGTGCACAGACTTCCACTTTCACTGTTTGGAGAAGCAGCTGGAGGAGGTGCAGCAGGTGCTGCTCTACGCCAGAGCCCAACAGAGCAGCAAGCAGAAAGACCAATCTGGTTMGTCTTGTTGTCAACATAAAGGCCAGTGTTTACTCCAATCTAATCTAAAATATTCAACACATTTCACAGGGGGTTATGTTAAGGAACACAACATACTGTATTAAAGATTCTCTATCGGTTCGTTCTCTTGATTTTCCATTTCAAAATAAAACAAATTATCTAGTGGCTTTTTGGTTTTAAAACTAAATTAGTAAAAACAACAATAGCAAAATTAAAAAATGCTCTTTTTTCTGTTTTTATTTTAATGTTTAAAGCAATGACAACTTTTATATTTTGTTAGCGCACCACTTCCTGGTTGAACCGTAAATCATGGCATGAACTCATGGCACTTCTCATTTTCACTTTAGAAATCGCCTTTTTTGAAGGAGCTGACATATCTTGAGAGCTATTTTACTGTGAACAAAACTGCTTGAAGTTATGCAGAATYGGATTTGAGTGCAGACATTGCTAATATTTTTAATATCGGTCATCCAGCTGCTGTAAGCTCATCTTCTTTTGCGACTTCCATCACTTCCATTATTGCTACATATTAAAACAGAAACTGTATATTTTATTTTGGATTAAAATAACTAAAGCAAAAACCAAACACTTTGGATTTTTTTATTAGTTTGATTTTTACATTTAGATTTTGAAAACGGAAAATCCAAAAATAAAAAATAAAAAACATGATTAATCCGTGCAGTTTTATTTTGAAACGGAAAAACGAAAGAACAAACCAAACACACATTATTCTCTTTATTTTAAATAAAAAAATATGAGATTAAAATCACTTGACACTTTAATAAAACCGTGGCAGCCCTAAGAGTTTCTGCCACACGGCTCCTCGGAGAGCTGGAGGATTTCAGCGACATGTCACGGTTACGAGAGGAGGATTAAACAGTCAAGAAATAGAACCCTCTTTAGATTAGTACCACTGCGCTGATGAGAAAACACTGTCCAGATTCTCACCACATCATAAGCTGAGTGGTTTTAGTGCACAGAAGCTGTCTTGCATGCTTGAAATCCATTCTTAAAATACTCCAGCAGACGTCGCAGGCGTTGGAATATTCCTAACAATAGCTTTGAATAATTTACATGCATTGTTTTATACGTCTGTGTTCACAGAGATTCATAGGAACGGAGGCGACGATAAGAGCAAAACAGTCGAAAGAAATCCTTCAAATATTTTGCCAGGTAATGATCACGAATTTAACAGCAACTGATCAGTTTTTTTTAAACGTCAGTTTTAAATAATCTGTCCGTCACTCGAGGTGAGTTCTACATCTCGCGCCACTCCAACTTGTCGGAGGTCCACGTGGTCTTCCATCTGTGCGTGGACGACAACCTTCGTTCTGGGAACATCACGGCCCGCGACCCCGCCATCATGGGTCTGAGGAACATCCTGAAGGTCTGCTGCACGCACGACATCACCACCGTCACCATACCTCTGCTGCTGGTCCACGACATGTCGGAGGTGAGAACAACAGAGCAGCGCCAAGCCTCGTGTACCTGAACATTTAGGTTCGGTAAACTAGCAGGTAAAGCAGTTTATGAGTGTTAACTTATGAATATATCACTAAATCTGTTTAAATGTTGTGTTACTTGTTACGCAGTCCAAAGTAATGGGAAGTTAGGTGTGTTTGAGAAATCAAGGAAGAAGAAAAGACACGTCATAAGTAGATTTTAAAGATAAAAAAAGGCATGTTCCCTCACTTAGCTCTGGCTAGATTGAAATCTCTGCTCTGGCCGTCCTGTGCTGTCTGGTTTGTTTGGAGAAACAAGACCACAGTTTAAATATAATGGGCTGTTCCTCATCTTCTTATTGTTTCTTCCTTTAAATAAAAACAGAAACTGTGCTTAATGATTTTGAATTCATATTTAAACGCTTCAGTGAATGAAACGTAGTGCTATTTTTAGAAGAAAAACAAACGCTTTGCAGACAAAGCGAGTAAAAAAGAAAAGAAAACATCTTGCAGTTTCACAGCTGCTTATGTTTCTGGTTGAAAGACTCGTCTTTTCTTCTTGGCAAAACAAGCGCAACTGCTTTTAGATCAACTGCCAGCTCAGCTCCTCACGTCTACCTGCTTCAGACATTATCAAAAACTCCAGAATATCCGATCCTGTTAGTCACGCGTCAAAGAACCGTTGCTCAAGCTGGTGCAGTTTATCTCGAGGGCAGTTCGGTTACGAGTCGACGAGCGCCTAAACCCGAACCTCCTTAACTCTCCCGCCTCCAGTTCTTCGGAAGCAGACAACTAAAACACAAGTTTTCCCCCAAGAGTGAATTAATGGGAATATATGACTCTGCTTGTGTCACGCTCCCTGTGATCAAGCGAGAAAGAACTCCAGAAAATGACTCCCCACTGAGGTCACCGTATTCACCTTAAGGCTAAAAGCACTCAGAGCTGAAAGACGAGACGAGCTAATGGAGCCAGCAAGCGTTTTAGGAGGCATTAACAGTTTTTGTGAAAAGTGTCATGTTTGTTTTATCATACATCAACTTGTCTTAACAAAAACAGGGGTTTGACCCACTTAATAACTTTATCTAATTAGTTTGTCAAGTTTTGTGGTGGTTTTGGTCCAGTGGGAGGGAGGTCATCTTCCAATTGGATGAGACGATGAGCCCTCCACTTGCTTCCACTTCCTTATTGCTGCATGAGGGAAAAAATAAAAACATTCTCTATCGAGAGTCTAATTTATATAATAATAAAACACTGTGTGAATGGATGCAGAAGAATAATTGTAATGTGCTTTGAGGGATGAGTGAGTCATTTACTGTTTTAGGTTAAGTGGTACCTCTTAAAGTAATATTAGGAAACAAATATACAAGTTTGAACTTGTGTTGTGATTTTTAGCAGCCTGGATGCCATTTTTTTCCCATAAAACATAAACTGTTCTCGACTCCTCTTACCTTAATAGTAAGTTTTAAATGTCTGATAATCATGAATCAAACAGAGTTCCAGATGGAGTTCCACAGGGGTCGATCCTCGGTCCTCTTCTGCATGATTTGTAAACACTCCTACTTGGTTTTAGGACCGGGCGATAAAACAATAACATGTATCGCGATAGGCACGTGATCAATATCAAAAGAAAATATGTCCGATAGAATGCTGATAATGTCACTGAACTGCGATCCAGAACCACACGGCATTCTGGGGGATGTAGGCAAATGAAAGGCTTTGGCAGCTCAGCTAAGCGAGGTTGGTGGCATCAACTAATTCACTCACTCTTAGCTAGCAACAACCTGCTAAGTAACATGCGCAGTAGCAGTTTCATGTTTTGCCACCATGCCTCATAAAGGCTTTAAAAAAAGAACGGTGTGGAGTGAAAGGAGAAAATGAGTGCAACGGATCGAGAGGAAATTCTGGATAAAAGAGGAAAGGTAACATCACCATCACTTTTTATAAATAGGTAAAACAACAAACTAATCAGTAACTATCAATAATGACTGTTATGAAACCTGATATAATCCTGATACATTTCTCAGTCACATGGCCCAGCCCTACTTGGTTTAATCAAAAACCAACACAGCATAACTTATTGCTCTTATTCTGACGATACTCAGCTGTAAATATCTGTTTCCTTGTTATAACAAGGACAAATTCAAAATCAACTCATGGTGCTTTCTAATGGTCTTACCTAATTTCCCTCTGGGATCAATAAAGTATTTTTGATTTGATTTGATTTTTCAGTCATTACGGTCTGGTTCTCTATATATAACACATCCTCTGTTTTCACTTTGCAGGAGATGACGATACCGTGGTGTCTGAAGCGAGCTGAGCTGGTTTTCAAATGCGTTAAAGGTAAAGTGAGACGCTGATTTATTTATGGATATGTACAGATTAAACTGTCAAACCTTGACTTGGATTTGCAGCTTGTGTAGTGAATATTTTGAAGTTTATTTTGCCCATTTTCCAGTTTTAAGACCTTTAACTCCTGCTTATCTGGGTTTTTGTTAAAACTTAGAAGTCTGTTTAAGAGGAAACGGAACATAATCATTTTTTTTGAAAACATACATGCTTATCTTTTCAGAAACTTATTTAAAAATTGAAAACTGGTATGTATTTAATAGCTACAGATAATTTGTTTCATTTACAGGTTTTATGATGGAAATGGCCTCATGGGATGGGGGTATTTCACGCACAGTCCAGTTCCTGGTGCCAAAGGTGAGTGAAGAATGTACTGTCATCCAAATTACTGTGAGCTATCTAGAAGCACGCATAAACAAATGATATAATCATGCTTCAGACGTGCAGTAAGTCCTTTTGTTTTCATGAGAAATAGCGTTCTGGCAACTTAACTGGTGCAAGCTGTAAACGAGGTTAGGGCGACTCTTTATTTACAAACCTGACCTGTGACCCACTTTTCAGAGCAGTGAAAGCAGAAATTCCTTCACATGTACAAACTAACTTATGGCTAAAGATGCAGAATTCTTCCTTGATTGATTGCTTCCCACTAATGCTTCACGTGGACCCAAAAGAAGTCAAAGCCCCACATGTACACAGCGTCACAAAAGGCGCACCTGGCATGGCGGTGCATACCTTTGAAAACAGGAGAGGCTGAATGTTTGGAGAGCTCACTTTAATCTATAGATTATAGAGCTTTTGGATCTTTTGCCCGGTGTTTACACTGCTACGGTAAAAAATCGCACATGAGCGTGTGATAAGCAGAGGGATTAAAGCGCCGAGGAGAAACCGTATTCACTTTCTTGGAAACTCTAATAGCTGCGTCCTTTTGAAATGCAAAGAAGTTGTTAGATTAAAAGAGGAAAACATCTTGTGTTGAATTGGAAAAAAAAAAAAAAAATTTAAAAGCCATTGCTGGGTGACTCATGACTTTTTTTAGTTTGGGCTTAGCTGGATGCTGAGTATACCTACAGCTCCTGTGGTTTCTCAGGTAGGCAGGAGGGCCTATAGGAGGATGTCATGTTGACAGGATGAGGCGATGAGATGAGCAGCATCAAAGAACCCCGACTGTATCGGCTTCCTGTCAGCTACATGCTCAGACACAAATCAAAATAGCAACTCCTGCAATGGCATTGTCATCTACAGCTCAAAAGATATACTGTGTCTAAATATAGGCTGTCTGTTTGTGTTTTCGCTTTAAGATTACTTAACATTCTTATTTGACGAGCAGCAGCCCTTAAGAGTGACACGGTATGTGCGCCGTTAAAGTCACAGCTGCTGGAACTCGCATCTTTTAAGTGTTTTGACTCCTGTACCCTGAGGAAAAGTGACCTTTTGAGCTAAAGGACACAAAGCAGATTGTGAAGCACTTATTTAGATGTCTTGTTTTCACGTGTAAAGAAGAATTAGAACAATTCCTGTTTAAAAATATATTCAAGCGGCACAAATGGTTTCTTTTTTTCTGCTCTAATCCCAGCTGTGTCTTTCTGTCTCTTCGTAGAGTATCTCGGAGGAAATGTTCTACCAGCTGAGCAACATGCTGCCTCAGATCTTCCGCGTCTCCTCGACACTAACGCTCACTTCGAAGCAGTGACGGGTTGAGGCGAGCGGCGCTTCGTATCCTCGAGTCGTTCGGACCAAAAGGCTACTTTTTGAAAATGAAACGTTGAATGAAATGATAGCATTCTAGCACTTACAGATGAGAAGTGGTTTTTTTTGTACCTCCAGTGAGCCTTGTTATTATTGTTCCCTCCACAGCTCTACAGAAATATGTCACATTGAAAGAGGACTGGAGTCACTAAAGCAGCTGCTACAATTATCATTTCAAGCCTCTTGGGTGCGGTTCTGCTGACAGAGCTTTATTACATCAGCTCTAAATATTACCCTTTTTTTAAATTCAGCTTGAATTCGTTCCTTTGCTTGGTATAATTTAACAAAATCTTAAGGTTTATGAGCTGGAACGCAACAAGGCAATGAAACAAAAAATAATAATAAAAAAAGAAGAAGAAAGAACTTATAAAGTTATAAAACCATAATAAACAGCAGAATTTATTTTTTTTTGTGGGACACTTTATGTAGTGTGTAAGCAGGGAAAATATAACTTTATTTGAACTGATATATATGGACTGAGGTTTCAAAATTTAAATAAAAAAATCCACATTCAGACAATTTTGTCTGTTGGGGTCTACCGATCAACATTCTGTCTTGGCAACAAAAAAATATGGGATAGTTTCTTTAAAACTGCACAAAAAACCCATCTGCTGCAGTTATTTCTACTCACAAGATGCAATGATGCACCTCTAATGATATGTTTGTAGATAATTATTTTCATTCTGCACTGCGGTTTTGTAAAGTAAACATATCTCCCCCCTATCTGTAGATGGCACTGTTCCTAAAGAGAAAGATTTGAAAAAAAAAAAGAGAATTTAATTAAAAGATTTGTGCATCTATTAAAATAATGCTAAATGAGCATTCGCTCTTTGACATTCATCTGCATTCATGGTACCTAAATGTACAGCCGCCATTTTTGTTTTGTCCAACTGTGAATTCTTGTCAGATGTGTTGAAAACTTGAACTTATAAACATTCTGTATTTTTTTTGTTTACACTTTGTTTTAATTAAAAAAATACATGTAAAACCACAACTATTTGATAGATTATGTTCTCAAAGAAAGGCAGCATGAACTCATCAGATATTTCAATATGAAATGATGATGTTTGTTCCCACTTTACCACTCGTGATGTGTTTTGTGGAGGGTTTTAATGTTGATGACTTATCCACAGGGATGCAATCTCTGAAGTTATGAAGCATGCAACTCATTGGAATTAAATTTCAACAGCCAATCAATCCAGCCTGTCAGAACGCTCGCCACAGCAACATTTATTTGTGGCGTAAGGCTAATTACAAGAAATATTAGTGAAGCAATCAGAATAAATGGAAATGAACAAGATGGCCAGCTGCCCTGAGAGTTGTGGGACTTTTTTTATTATCTCCATGCTTATGTCACGCTGTCGTGCTTAGTGACCACAGAATCATCAATTTGTTTATATAATTTCATACCAGAGGATGACTCAAGGTGCTTTACAAAATGTAGACACAAAACAACAGCAAATTTGTCTTGAATTTAGATTTAAATGTGGTCTGAGCAGAGATCAGCTATCATTTTAGGTTTCATCATTTTAATTGAAATCAGTCATTTAACTTTCTCTTTTCAGGATTAGATGCCTTAATGTTAGAAATATTGTGATTTTTAGACATGAACAGATTCAGTATATAACTTTTGTTGTAAGTGGACTCATTCGCATGCAGAAATAGACATGAGTATATAGGTTTCTCCTGTCACATGACTTGTCTATGTGACTATTAACTTCATCATAAGATAAAGTATTGCTCAGTGTTTGCCTTAAGAGTCATCTCGGTGGCCTTGAGTGCCAGCTCACAGGAAGAATTCATTGTGTTTGTATTTTTTTCCAGAACATAGAGTACAAAACATGAGAAAAATGTAACTATGACACGTGTTATCCAGTAATTAATATTATCTGAGAATAAATTGTCTTTGCCCAAATCAAAAAGCTAAATCAATATGATGCTGTCACACAATTCTCTATACAGATTATCATTGTAAAACATGCCTCTTGTCATTCTAGTTCTTTTTTTTATTTAATGGCACAAATTGTAAGAAAATTTAGATTTTTAAATAAATGAAACTGTTTTTTTTTACATAGCTTTACCCTCAAAGTGTGGAAATATCTGCAACGATTACATCCCTTTACCAGGGCTTAACATTGAATTAAAAATATCTGCAGTCACTTCAAAGTAATACAATAAAAAGGTTGCTTTAATTCGTATTTAACATTGTTTTTAAAATATGTTTTTGTCTTCAGACTAAAAATGAAAATACAACTTTTTGGACATAAAAAATATTCTTATTATTATTTAAGTTATTTTAAAAGGACTGAAATTAAAATTCAGCAGAAAAAATAAACATGAAAAATGATTTAGTTGTTATTTTAGACACGACTAAACAAAAATACAAATTAATCTCGTTTTGTTTTGGCCACCGTGCTGCTACCGCTTCCGGTACTGGCCACATTTTTGTGCCTAGAAAAATAAAAAACTTGAGCGCCATTTCTGTTACGTTTGCAAATGCATCGCAAGCCATTTATCTTTGTGTATTTGGTTAGTACTGCGCCATATTGCTGAAAATATTAATAATTTATAAGCAAAAGTTTAGTTTAACGAAGTGTGATAAATGCCTAAATTTTGTTTCTTTTATTTTGAAAACTGCAGACCGGAAGTTGTTTAAGTAGTTGATGCTAACTTGACAGCTATTGTCACAGCTGGGTAGTTAGTTGGCTCTCTGGAAGTTGAGCAACAGCGGTACGTCGGGAACGAGCAAGTCATTGCATGGATTTGTCGGAGCTCCGCAAAACTTAAGGTACACGTTACACATAAGAGAATATTAACTTAAAGATATATTTATGTTTTAGTCCTTTTCCCCACCCGGTTTTTTTAATTAGCGTAACGCGGTAGTTTGTTCGTTGTAACTTCTCCGCTGCTTTTAAAAAACATTCATCTGTGGCTCCCCTGCGTCGGTGAATCCTCAGCAGCGGATTTTAAACTTGACCCAGACGCCGTCGTGTATCACGGTTTGTTTTTACCCCAGTCTGTGATTTACCCCGACCCGACCCCTGGAAGTGTGGCGACAGAAAAGGTGAGTCAGCCAGGTTCCAGCAGCAGCAGCGTGGTCCTTTCTGGAAGTTTTTCCACTCAGTGGCTCTGGCTGCTGCAGCTCTGCCACCAGACTCCCCCGAACACCGATGTGCTGCTGAGTGCCATAGTGGCAGTAAATTTACAGGCTCACCGACTGGTTTACCCCCCTCTGCCCGCAGAGAACCCGTCCTCATGCTGGCTGGGATCATTTGGCGCTGAAGCCCCGCTGTTAAACACATGGAGGCTTTAGTTTAGTGGGGGGGAGGACACCCCTTATTCTCTGGAAAGTTACAAACTCTCAACTGGAAGGGCCAGCTAAAACGTTGTTTTAAGGCTTAAAACCCAAACACTTGACCCACCTATTATTGTATTTATTGTTATAATTTCAGGTCTCACGTTGACTGATTTAATTAGAAATGAAACTGTAAAGATGATTTTGTTAGAGCACTAAATTGGGACAATATTTTATTAGTTTTTAGACCACATAAGTATGAATTTGTTTTTTTTTTAAATATATTTCTACATGTAATAAACTTAAGATGAAAAATAAACTGCATTAACTAGATTTGTTTGGGTGTTTTGTGCAAAAACCTGAAGTTGTTATAGTTTGGTGTTAACTGGTAGGTACACAAATTAATTGTCGATCAGTTTTAAGAAAGCAAATGAAGAATGTTCAAATATTTTAATTCGCACACAGTGAAAAATGTCAAAACTTCAATTTTTTTTTAATGAAACATAGCCCTTTTTTATTTCTTTATCTTGAGAAGGCAGTGTTTTGAAATGTAATTGTTGATCAGCAGGTTAGCGGTTAGCTTCAAGCACAGAATGTTTCCACTTGTTTTATTATAAATCTGTTATCTTTTGCTCTACGTGGCATAAAAGGCTCAAAAACACCATGTTGGGAGGGAACAGGATCGAAAGGTTAAACAGCTCTAACCCCTGACAGAGKGACTTTTATTGTCATGTCACTGACTCTCCCGTTGCACAAAGACCTTTTTTCCCTCTTCATAGACTACTTAAGTGACTCTTTCCTCAAAAATAKAGGTCCAGTTAGTCCTGGCAGCTCTCAAACAAATTTTCTTACTATTTTCCTATATTCAGTTGAGTGAAAGCACATCTGCTGATGTGGTTTCCTCTGCAAATATCTTTTAGTTGTAAGTTCTTGTGGRCAGATCGTATTGACGTGAAGGTTTTGACCATTCCGGTTCACTGACGGGCCTTCGTTGTGATTCAAGCAGTCGCACTGTTGCTGCCTCCTGGGTCCCAGTTGGGCTTCTCTCTGGAGCTCATCTGTTTGTTGTAGAGCGGCCCCTTTTCACCAGCTGGCTTGTTCTCGAACTGCTCTGCGACGGTCTAATGTGCCTCCAAGTCAAGCGGAGGATAATCACCTACCGTCGAGGACGTCAAGCTACTTAGGCAGATTGACAGCTTTTCTGTTTTAATCAGTCGTAGGCCGTTCATCTTCACGGCACTTTCTGTGCGTCTCTTGGACTTCGCAGTGAATTCCAATCCTGCATGTGCTCTTTAGACAAGTGCTGGATTACACGGTAGGTGATAAATGCATATTTTCTGCCGTTTTTTATCTTAATGGAGGAACTTTTGCTCAGAGKCTTYGTGGGGGGAGGTGGGTTGGGAGAGACTTTTGGAAGCATTGTGTTGCCACTGTCACACTGATGTGTGTAGCCACTGGCAGTCAGAGGGWTTGTATCAGTAAAACAGTCGTCTCAGGTGAAAGATTAGCCACAGAGATTCACTTCAACGCTTTCATGACTTCATGTTTTATTTATTAACGCAGCGTTTTGAGATTTTTCTGCTGCGCATCCCAATTTAGGCTCATTAGTAAACTTTTTAGCACTTTGGAAAATGTTCGACGTTTCTTGTCACAGCGGTTGCTCCATTTATTTATTTATTTTTGCGTAGTAAAATGCAAGCTTTGATTTTATGTCTGTGAAAAGTTAGATGTGATCTTGTCTGCRTTTTAAATTGAACCTATTGCCTTTGGGGGTTTGTGTAATTCGAGCTGTTGCCTTTGTACCGACAGAATCTGTTCTGGCTGCCTCTGTTTTTTTCGTCTCTGTGTGAGCTCAGATTTAGCAGAAGGTAATTTCTCAAATCTGTGTGGTGCATTTCGCAGTTATCTTAAGGCAAACATTCAAATCACTTAAACGCTACGCTTGCTGCTGAAGCGAACGTGTGTTTTAAGTGCTAATGATAAAGCAGTGAGGTCATTTGTTGAAACAGGAGGGGGGCAGAGATGGGTGTTATGGGAGGAAAACACAGCGAAGAGTTAGATTTTTTTTTTAAATTTACAGGTTTTTTTTGGAGCACTAACTACCAATCAGCTGCAACACAACACCTGCTCCATGAGTGGGAGAATCCCACACATCCTGGAGTGTACATTATTAGACCAACATAACTCAGAAACAGCAGGGGAAATGGATAAATATAAAGAAAACTGACTTCTTCCTGTATCTTTCATTGATGGGCAGCCGAGGAGGTTTCCCCCCAGCTGTCTCCAGGCTGTAGGGTCAAAGTACAAAGAGCCTATCTGTAATGATGATCCAGAACCAGCTGGAGCAGTGAAACGGACCACGAACAGGTTCCCCTAACGAGCCGGCGCTAAAAGAAGGTGACAACAAGCCATCCTCCTTGAAAGGGTTGCGACTCACAATTTTACTAACCAGCTCATTTTATGAYACTTTATTTTGGACAGATAAAGGTAATTTGAACCCCCTTGAAGTTTTTTTTTCTTTTTTCTTCCAACCGAGATCGTTGGGTCGACTGGGCACCAGGTTGAGAATTTCAGTCAGACAACCATGGGGATGATCAACGAACCAATTCATAGCATTTGTCAAATTATCCTTCATAATACTCTTAAGAGCTGCAGCACTTATAGAAGCTCTTTTACCTTTTTGAAAGTGATGTTGAGAGGAAAAAACCTTATTAGTTGACCACTTCTAACTGGTACAATGTGACGGCATATTCAATTTAGGCATCTAGGSTATCTGTTCTTTTAATATCTTGTCTGATGAAAAGCACGTCTTCTCCTCAGTCTGGCATCAAATCGCCCTGTGCCAGAGTGTGTGGGTGCACTGGCACCGGCTCAGTTCTCTAGTGGCTTCCTTAGCCAACTGCTTTTCTCTTTAATCCGTAATATGCTGCTCTGAATTTCTGTCATTCAAACTGAAACGCACTGTCACACAAAGGGTGGCATCTACCAGCTGCACAACAGTTAAAAGAGTATTTTTTAGTGAACCACTGAAGGTGTAAGTGGGGATTGCAGTAGCTCAGTGATCATCATAAACCTGAGGTTGCTGGCTCGAGCCCAGGGTGCATCAAGAAGGGCATCGGGTGTAAAGCAATAGTTGAACGTTTCACGCCAGTTCACGCGAAGAACAACTGGAGGATATAAACTAAAGGACTGTAGAAGATGAGCACAAAGAGTGGGGACAGCACTAGGCCTGCCATGCCAAATTTTACTGGACAATAAATTGTCACATAAGTTATCGCGATAAACGATAATATTGTTTGGTGACCAATTTTTTTTTACTAGTAATCATATATAAAAGTTTATAAAATTTACTTAAGAAAAAAGTTGTGAACTGACCTTAACCAGAGATTGGGAAAATTGCACAAAACAGCTGCTGAAGGATAGGAAGGAGTTCACTCCTCCCTATGCTAAGGAGTAGAAAAGGAGAAAAAAAGAAAATAAACAATCAAGCTAATGAAAATGATGGACTTCAATTTAATTTATCGTGCGTAGGGCTGCAATGATTAATCGACAACTAATCGATTTATTAAAATAATCGATGACTAATTTAATAATCGATTAATCGTTTTATTTATTTTTTGTTCTTTACTTTGTTTTTCTCCAAAATGCTTTGACACCTTCCACTGCCAAATCTACCTTTCTGTCCATGACACACATGCACAGTAGTGGTAACTGGGGTAGGCCGTGGACGTTACAAGACGTTATATAGACAGGCTCTGGTATCATGGCTACCCAGCAATGGAGCTCAAAATTATGCAATCATTTTAAAAAAATGAAAGAGAAACCTGTGTAATATCTGCAGAGCAGAGTTTGCCTTCCACAGCAATTATTTTTAGTTAGCATATAGCTAAAATCTGACAATGGTTATAATAGCAGCTGCATTCTGGCACGATAAGCTCTATGTTTTATATTCAATTAACATATGATCTGATTAGTCGACTAATTTGAAAAAAAAATTGGTGATTAATCGATTATAAAAATAATCGTTTGGCAGCCCTAATCGTGCGATTAATTGATTTATTGCGACAGGCCTAGACAACACTTGGGCTTGTTTGTAGAGATTTCCACTCTGTTGTAAGGRCAAAGCCAGATGTTTGCAACACATTCTCACTCTCAGTCTTACCTCTTTGCCAGACAGAAAACGCCTGGAGYGTGTAAAATGAAAGATCTGAAAACAACAAATCTGGTAAAGCATTTAATGCAACGAATTATAAACGATCCAGCCACCTTCTGATAATTTCTGACTGGGGGAAAAAAGGCAGGAAAGACCAATTCAACAGACAGTAAAGGGCTTCAAACTGCATTTAGCCCTCTTTGAAGTTTCTCTATGAATGGGGAAAACGGCATAATATAAGACACTACAGTGTTCTCTTTCATGTAGCAAGCTGAAGGGGATGCTGTTGAAGGAGACCTTTTGATATGTGAGATGCTCTGTGCACTTGTGAAAGCCCAAG